CTAAATATTTGCAAATTGGGCTAAATATTGCAAACAGGGAACAAGGGAAAGCCTGTAAATCCATGGTTTGTATTTAGGGCATCCTTGCGTTGGTTTGGGGAACCAAAGGGAAACCACCACGGTTTTTTTTGTTGGGGGGGGCGGTTCCCTTATGATTTGAGTCGAGGATTCGCTTAGTTGAAAACATCTATGAGCCTTAGGACACCCCGCAGTAGCGTATTGCCCATGTCAATCCAACCATCAGGTCAATATTCATTGTCTCCCTCCTCCTCCTGACACGGGAATTTGGTGAGTACCCCCCCCCTAATGATAGTTTGGCGAGTTTCCCAAGGTCATTCCCCCTGCAGTAAATGATGGTGAATATTGACAGTTGCTCATGTCAACCCAGGCCAACCCTATACATCTGTTTAACTACTACTTGCAAAACCAAAAACAACGAATTGGACATTGGTTTCCTTTTGGCTTCCTTGGAGGGGGGAGGGGTGGGGGGTGCCTCAGGCCGAGCCGCCAGGCCGCAAGGCCGTCGGGCCTTGGGCGCCAGAAAGCTGAGCGCCAAGCCGCAGCCAATGGCGGCCGCCGCAACCAGAACCTCCGCCGAATCGGGCAAGCGGCCCTAAACGCGCCACGAAAACATGTCTTGTGGGCTGAGTGTCCGTTTTCAGATCCGCTCAAAGTTTGTAAACCTGTGGGCGAAATGGAAAGAAAACCATTCTTCGGGGCTGTCCGTTTGCAGATCCGCGAAAAAAGTGTTTAACCTTGTGGGCGAAATACGGAAAAGCCCGCTGAAGACAAAAAAACATCTAAAAAGCCAAGGGACCGGATGGCTGGGTGGGGTGGGTGGGGTGGGTGGGGTGGGTGGAGTGGGTGGAGTGGGTGGAGTGGGTGGAGTGGGTGGAGTGTGGTGGTGGGGAAGGGGCGGTAGGGTGGGGGGTTGATCAATATTCCATTTAGGTCCAGAGTATTGACCACGGGGAACTTTCCCATGTGGGAAACATCATAGTGGTTTCCCCAATGGTCATCCTATGTAAAGGACCTTCTGATCAACCCCCATTTCTTCGTGGGTGACTTGCGGGGCAACTAATGGGGATGTGTTCTCAATGGGAATGCGTCAAATAAACAAAGGTTGTCCTGCTGGTGTCCCTTCTCAACCAAGGTCAAAAAGGCTACAGAGCCTCAACACACAAGGCATAGTGGTCATTTATTGTTCTTTGGTGCAATCGATGTTTGATGGACCCCCTTTATATAGAGTTTTCGACATGTTGTATATGTTTCTTCGGACACCTTCTTGGTCAAGAACACCCAATGCCAAAGTTGCATTGGTTGACACAACTCAAGCTGCAATAGACGTGTTCCACTGGATGACGCTCCCAGGATCGAGCTGCAATAGCACGCGAGCCCTTCGGTGGACATCAGTTAGGTGGGGACTTTTGGCCCCCCAATCACTTTTCAGGGGTTCTCCATTAAAATTCATGGCGAGGTAAGTATCAATGCCCTTGACCAACAAACCAATACACAAGTCCCCTTAGCCCCTATATGAAAACAACTGGCTCAATGCGTTCGTCTCAGTTCTATTCAGCTACACGCTGAGCCACCCGGCTGGTTGTAGAAAACTCCACCATTCAATCTTCAGATTGGCAGAGTAGGCGACTGAGCGCACACGTGAACCACACGAAAGTGGAATCACGCTGGCACACACGCATACGAAGGCATACAAGGACCATAGCGTTGGCATGTCATTTAATTCCTTCAACCAGGCTGACGGACTGCCGGGCTCCTCTTCATCATGACTCCCTGAACACACTGTGTTGCATGTATCATGACACTGAACACATTGTGTTGCATGTGTCGCGTTGCAATCACAGCACGACGTGTACATGGCGTGCACTGCGTGCATCTGTTTCTGCAGGGACGCCGTCTGAATGAAGCTGCAGCAAACATACAACACCTCAAGTCGTTCTGTCCCATTACACGACAAACATTTGCAAATGCGCAATTGCACATTTCACCAGGCAAAGGCAGCTCAATCACTTGCAACGAGGAATGCGCAAGCAGAAAACCTTGCTTGAAAAACAAACAAACACACCTTGTCATATTTGTTCAACATCTGCCAATATCCGCCAAGGCCCTTGGGCTGTGGGAGGTAAGATCAAGGGAGCCCCCCCAAGCTCGGGAGTTGCATGACCGGCAAACGGGCTTGGGAGGTGTTGTGCGGTTTACTGGTTTTTGCCTTTCTTTTGCGGCTTTGTCCTGCTGGGGTCCTCGCCGTTCTTCTCTTTGCAGCGTGCTGTTCACTCGTTCAAAGCTCGGTGCGGCGCGGTGGCTCTTTGATGGATACGCGGCAGCTATTCGGAGATTGGGAGCGGGCTTGTTAACATCCTCGGATATCGCCTGTTGTTGACATCGCCTGCGATTGGCTGCGCCACATCCCCAACATTGCCTGTAACCCTACAACATCCCCAGCATTGTCCGTGTCTTGCGAAAGCCGACACAGGGCCAGGGGTCCAAAAGTCAGACCCTGCTTCAAAGTGCTTCGGGCAAATCCTGTGGTTCACTCGTTCTTTGCGATAGTGCCCAATGGCCCGACCAAGCACACCACCCAAACAAACCCATCCCAGTTTTGGTCCGTTTTAGTCTTCCCCCACGGGTGTGTCTGGGCGGGTGTGATGATCAAGCGACAAAGCTGAATATGTTATATACACATATGTATCTATGTATACATGTATCTATGTATACATGTATCTATGTATACATGTATATATATATATAGATATATTTACATAGTAGTATGATCAACGTAAGGTACTGACCAAGCATACGGCCAGCCTACCACCCCCAAGCACCAACCTGCTGGCCGAGGCGCAATACGAATAAAGATACAGATTCAGAGGAGTCAGTGCGCAAGACAGAAAGGTGGAGCAACTTGTCATCGCGATGCTCAACGCCAAATCTGCGTTGAAGAGTGAGCACCACCTCAAAACGGAGAAAGCCAGTCATCGGTCCAGCCCTATGACTAAATTGGCCCTGAAACTCGATTGTTCACAACGCGATATTAAAGAAACCTGGACCCGGCTTCTGTCAACAGCGCTTCTGCCTGTCCGAATTTCCAAAGATCCTGACGTGACATGTTGTGGCTCTCAGTGCTCTCAGTGGAGCAAGCTGCGTGCACACGTCCAACATTCCAGTGGGTTTCCATGCACACAAAAAACACTTCCGTGTTTTGGGGGGCGATTTCTTTCAAAGGGAACCCCTCAAAAACAAGGAAAACCACCGCGGGTCCATTGGAATTTCCCACCCTTCACCAAAAGTGAAAGTCCAAAGACCCGCTACCAAATGGCCCTCCGACAAGAAATCAGATCCGGGAATGCTCGGTCAATTCCACCCAGCCGCCAGTTGCTATAAGCGCCACCGGGGCTTGAAGTCACCTAGGCGAACCGACCCGTCCCAAATGGGCCCAGTCGGCAGCAAAATTCCAAACGGGCCCAATACCAATCTAGCGCCATTAGGTCTCACTAAATATGGAGGGTTCGGATGCGACATGGTAGTCCTCGGATGCGACTGAGAGACCCAGTCTTCCGAAGCGAGTAAAAACAAAACAGAAAATGAGACTGAGGAATGACCCCTGCGTTTTCCAGCCTTCGCTAAGAAAAAGGGCAGCCTGGGACACCTGGACAAGGCGCACCGCACTCAACTCATCCAATAATACGTATCAAACGCAAGTGACTAACTCACTTCCTGAGAGGCTAAAACGAACCATTTTCTTATTTGTCACTCAAATGGTCTTCCTAACAAGTTTAACGTCCAGGAATCTCAGGGAGCGTGCCAAAGAGGGCGGCTGGCATCAGTGCTCGCTCGATGGGCCTTTGCTCCAAACCATATGGCGAGGGGACACAACAGATCGAAGGCGCATGACAAGCCGCGGGATAACCAAGTTATGTATGTGTGTGTTTGTTTTCAATCAGGAACCCCAAAAACATGCTGGCTTACAAACCAACGCCAGTTTGTCGATCTCGATCGTGGCTGTCTATGCGCTTGCCAATGCCAGATACGCTTGTTCGCATGACAATATCGATCCGACAATTTTACCGGACCAAGAAACGACGCAGGCCTACCTTCCTCCAACTAGCGTGGCACCTGTGGGGAGGTACCTGGAAGATCAATTTCCTTCTGAAGGGACTCCCCTGTCAGTTGCGAGGTGAATGGGAGGGTACTCAAAAGGGATACAGCAATATCCTCCGCTGTGATTGCTCCAGAATGGCCCCAAGAACCTGGGACCATGTTTTGCAGACCGAGAATTTCATAGAATTTCCCCTTCGGGGTTCCGTTGAAACGCGAAAGTGCGAAGTTCCGTTGCCAAATAGCCTTAAAAACCAAACAACTACCCTTCGCCTCGAAAAACAACGGAGCTCCCATGCAGCTGAGCGGGCAGTGATCAGCATCACCCCAAAGATGGGCTCCAAGTTGAAGGCCTGCAGGCCCAAGTGCGCTGTTTGGGGCTCTTTGTTGCTGGCGCGATAGGAAGGGAATGAATGGGATTCCATCATTCCAGCTCATTCCCTGCTGAGAACCAGCAAGTTTTGGTTTCCTCCATCTTCTTAGGTCGGGAAATAGTATTTAAGTATCTCCAGTGATAGATTGTCCGCAAACCTGACAAGGGGAAAAAGAAGAAGAAGAAACAAACAGAAAAGTTGGGGGCTCGAAGCAACTATGGGCAATAAGGCCGTATGCGGGAATACGCCTCACTGCAACTGAGTTCTTCTGCGGAATGTTTGGAAGGCTCATTCATGTTGCCTACTCAACATGGCTCAACATCATGGCAACATGCCTGCGAGCAATTCACAATCTGCCGGTATACACGCAAATATGTCTCTGTGCATGTCAAAATATTACTGTGTGTAGATATTTATATATATATATATATATTTAAGTACGAACCCCCCTGAGTACTCAGGTGTTTGGCCAGTCAAATTTGTGCTGCAAAAATGCAGACAACATGCTCACTTCATTATGGTGCTTATAATTGGGGCAACTCAAGGTGTGTTAGCACGCGCTGACGCATCCTCGGTTGAAGTATGTTCAGTTTCTTGCATTTTATCATTATGACTATGATATTAGGGTAAACCAGCTGAATGCATCAATAAAAAATCTAATATTGGACCCTGTCTAACAGCTGGGGTTCCTTTTGCAGAATGTGTTTTTCATAATTCAGGATCCTGGGCTGTTTTGGGGCCCTCTATCGTGGAACGCGGCTCCATAAGTCTCTGTGGGGGCAAATCACGGTCGACACATGCAAGCCTTGTTTTTGGGCAGAAAAATAACATATCAAAGCCTTAGATCTAGTTTATGCTGGTTAAAACCACATGACACTAGTTAGCTAGTTTCAAGAGTAGTGCTCTGGTGCGATGAACACTCAAAAAAGCACGTGTGGCATGTGCGGAACGTAGGTACGCATCATGAGTGCGGGTACGATTGAGTGCCTGTTAAGCAGCCTTTTCAAAACCTAAAAAAAAAAAAAAACATCATAAGGAGTCGTTTAAGGTGCTTTATACGAAGCTTTCGAAAGAGCTTTAGGAGGAGCTTGAGGAGGAACTTGAGCAGAAGTCTTATAAGCAGCTCTACAAGTGAGCTCCAAAAGGACCCCTTTTTGGAGCCTTTGCATTAAGGAGCATGTTCATTGAAGAGCCTCAAAAAGGAGCTTCAAACGGAGTCTTACAGGCAGCTTTACAATGAGAAGTTTTATAAGGAGTCTGATAAGAAGCTTTGCAATGAGCCTGAAAAGGCGCATTGCAAGGAGCTTGACAAGGCAAGACTTGAAAGCCAGGTGTTGAACGTAAATTGAAATCGAGCATCTAATCCCAGTCTGCCCTTACCAAATGCATTTGATTTCTCCTCAAGTTTGATCTTCCCTCAGATGTTTGTGGTAGTTTGGCTTTATTCCTCCGAAAACGCAAATGAACGCGAGGTGTTCTTGTGGTTTCCTTCTGGCACTTTCAAAAAAAGAAACAAACAACTCGAGTTGTTGTTGTATTCAATATCTTGTTTTCAGAGGAAAGTGCTTTAGGGTTTTCTGTTTTTGGGTGGGATAAATAAGAAACAAAACCAGCTGAGGGAAACACAAAACAACTCGATGAAAAAAAGTTTGGCAAACCCAAAACTTATCCTCCGAGTTGTGCTTTGTAAACTGTTTGGGTTATTCGGTATGTTTTTTTCACATGTTTAGTAGCTTGGTAGCGACGTACCAAAAACAGGCCCACAAGTGTTCCAAAAACAAGCAACAACGTAGTTTCAGATTCAAACAAGCAACACCATAGAACCATGGAAAAGCAGTGTTGTTTCACACTTGTCTCTTTGATTTACGGGTATTTCGGATGGCCCAATTCGGGCCACCCATCAAACACAATGTGAGCAACACAATTTGAACAAAGCAACCAAACAACGCTGGGTTTTAGCAGTGTTTCAAGGGGGTCAAGTGAAGGTAGATGGGGGTGTGACCATGTGTGTATTATATATATATATATCCCTGCAAGCAGGCCCCAGTGAATTCGCTGAAGCTGCAACGCATCAGCAAGGCCCCCTCTTCCTTCAAATCCTCTGCTTGGCAGGGCACAGTTGCGAAAAAGGGTTGTGAGACCGAAGCCGGAAATCTTTCCTGACTCATTTCCTTAGCTCACAGAAAATGGCCCTTCTATAACCCCTCCAATTTTGCTTACACAAAACGCCATGGGGGAGAGCTTCCCCACTTCCCTCAAAACGAGCCGTTTTCGAAGGCGAGTCACCTTTGAAGCGCAAAAGCCCAGGAAGGGCAAGATGACAAACTGGCAGCACAAGCCTCACGGGCTTGGCGCTCGCCGCCAAACCGACGGGTTCAACACCACAAAATTCAGTCGCTAATTCCGCGTGACACATTGGAGAAGCACACTGCATGCCCTGGCAAGTACAACCTGCCGTCCACAAGAATGCGGCCAGTTTCCCTGAGCCCCTGGCCGCTTAGCAAATAAGCAAACATAAAACAAGCAAATAGAATAAACACTCTCTAAATCAACATTTGCATAAATCAATGAAGCAAGGAAGGAAGGAAGGCAGGAAGGAAGGAAGGAATTAATCAAAACATGCACAACCTGCTTGTCTGGGGCACCAGGCCTAGGATGATGCCGCATTTGCCATGAAACCTGCGTCTGAAGCCGTCAATGTCCAGTTTCTTACCCGCATCCCAAAGTGACCTCAACGCCATGGCACACCGAGTCACACAACAAAACTTGTGATCGGTGCAGGCAATGAGAAATGGAATGACCACTATAAACTATAAACCATCCAACTGGTGGTTTCCTGTAAGGGGACCCCTGAGTTCATTCCCACCTTCCCTACCGAGCACCAGCAACAAACAGTTGGTTCCTTCAGGGGCCCCTTTCCCCAGGACATCTGGGTGAGTTTGCGAGGGTACCCATTTCATGTTCATGTTTTGAAGGGTTACCAGCATGTTCCCCGGCTTCCCCTCTTTTGGCACAGACCCTTGTATGAAACATGCAATGATGCCGATTGATAGGTTGGTCCAATGATGCACATAAGCTCGTTCAAACAGCATGTGCGCACTGTTGCTGCTCTGTCAAAAACATGGATTTGCTGCTCTTTCAACAAAATGGGTGTCTTTCTTTAGGAATCGGACCCCAACGTGGTGATGTCCTTTTTGGTTTCTCATTAAACCACAAAAAGGTATCCCTAGAAAGACAGACCCACATGCAAAGGCACAACCTGTTCTTTTTGGGATCGTTTTTGTGACACCGCTTGGTTTGTTTGTTTCCAGGCCGTCAACTCCTGAAGACCTGGAAGCAACAAACACAAATGATGTTTGTTTGTGTCTCTGTGCGTGTGCCTCCCTGTGTATGTTTTTGAGGTTACCCCTGCTGGGGTCGTTTTTTTTTTGGGGGGGGGACACTAAACGGAAAGCACCAATCTCGGGGTCCCCCCCACTATAATATCCGCCGACATTGCTCGGCGTGTCGGATACTTACTAGAGGATAGAGGATAACCCCCCCCCTAACCCCCCCCCGCCCGACGTACCGCGCGGCAACGTACCGCGCGGCAATTTGATGACGTTCCACTAAACGTAGTCTTCGGGGAGCCGGTGTCGCAAAACAGGGGTCCCAGGCTCGATTCCCCCTGCCGGCTTTTTTGCTGGGTTGGGGTTTCTGCATCCTTTTGCCGAAAATCTGGAAAAACTCAATGTTTTTGGACGTCCTCTTTGCGAAAACGCTGGAAAAAACCGTGTTTTTTTGCGGGAAATACTCCGGAGCAAAGGGGAAGTGCAAGGATACATACATACATACATACATACATAAATTACAGTACATTACATTACAACACATTACATTACATGACATTACCTGACATTACATACATACATACATTACATACATACGTACATACATGCATACATGTGTGTAAGCATGCATGCATGCATGCATGCATGCACACATACATACATACATACATACATACATACGTACATACATTACATGCATTACATCACTTACTTACTTGCTTACTTACTTACATACTCACATACATGCATACATGCATACATACATACATGCATACATACATACATACATGCATGCTTACATACATACATACATACATACATACATACATACATACATACATTACATACATACATACATACATACATACATACATACATACATACATACATACATACATACATACATACATACATACATACATACATACATACATACATACATTACATACATTACATTACATTACATTACATTACATTACATTACATTACATTACATTACATTACATTACATTACATTACATTACATTACATTACATTACATTACATTACATTACATACATACATTACATCCATACACATACATACATACATTACATACATACATACATACATACATACATACATACATACATACATACATACATACATACATACATACATACATACATACATACATACATACATACATACATACATACATACATACATACATACATACATACATTACATACATGACATACATACAACATACATACATACATACATACATACATACATACATACATACATACATACATACATACATACATACATACATACATACATACATACATACATACATACATACATACATACATACATACATACATTACATACATAAATACATACATACATACATACATACATACATACATACATACATACATACATACATTACATACACATACATACATACATACATACATACACACACACATACATACATACATACATACATACATACATACATTACATTACATTACATTACATTACATTACATACATACATTACATTACATTACATTACATACATTACATTACATACATACATACATTACATTACATTACATTACATTACATTACATTACATTACATACATACATTACATTACATTACATACATACATACATACATACATACATACATACATACATACATACATACATACATACATACATACATACATACATACATACATACATACATACATACATACATACATACATACATACATACATACATACATACATACATACATACATACATTACATACATACATACATACATACATACATACATACATACATACATACATACATACATACATACATACATACATACATACATACATACATACATACATACATACATACATACATACATACATACATACATACATACATACATACATACATACATACATACATACATACATACATACATACATACATACATACATACATACATACATACATACATACATACATACATACATACATACATACATACATACATACATACATACATACATACATACATACATACATACATACATACATACATACATACATACATACATACATACATACATACATACATACATACATACATACATACATACATACATACATACATACATACATACATACATACATACATACATACATACATACATTACATACATACATACATACATACATACATACATACATACATACATACATACATACATACATACATACATACATACATACATACATACATACATACATACATACATACATACATACATACATACATACATACATACATACATACATACATACATACATACATACATACATACATACATACATACATACATACATACATACATACATACATACATACATACATACATACATACATTACATACATACATACATACATACATACATACATACATACATACATACATACATACATACATACATACATACATACATTACATACATACATACATACATGCATGCATACATACATACATACATACATACATACGAGAGAGGGAGATTGGGGAGAGAGAGGCTTGGGGGGATGGGGAGGATGGGAGCAGAGGGAGGGAGAGAGGACGACAGAACACACAAGGGAGACAAGGAAGAGAGGAAGAAGGAGAAAAGGGAGAGGACAATGTCGGCGGACTGAGCCGGAGGCTCTAAAGTATACTCACTGCCATGAAACATTTGTCGGATTCCCCAAGCCACCCTGACGACCCTGGAAGACAAACTCGCTCAAGGACTGATGGCCATGCCTGTATGAAGCAACCCACCCCTTGGTTGCCGTTGACCCCTCTGCAAACAGTTGTTCACTTTTTGTGGGTCCAATGGAAAATCCACCTGTTTCCACCAAGAACTGAAAGTCCAAAGATCCGCTACAAATTAGCCATAAAGACCCGTGAACACAAACCAGGACAAACACCTCCTGTCATTGGGCCGCAAATACCACGAGTGTCACAAATTTGGACTCCTGAGCTCACATGCGAAAACCGCTCAATCCATCTGCTTGGGTTGAGGGTTCCATGTACCCCACTGGCTTCACCATAGACCCGCCATCGATACAAAGTCTGCTTCATGTGTCTACCCAAAACCTAAAACAAATGTTGACCCCAGAAACCTACGCCCTGGCATGTCCTTTGTTCTTATCTGTGCTCTGCTAACCTCGCGGTGCTGAAGTATGCGAATACAGTTCACACTAAAGTCGTTTTACTGTAGCCCTTTATGAAACCAGGTAGAACCATCTGCAGGAAGGGCAGGAATGGCCCTGAATTGCAATCAATGAAAGCGAGCCTTGGAATTTGAAGCTAACAGGCCACCTGGAGCTTAGTGTTTCTAGATGGCTTATTTAGTATAAAGTTTCATCCATCCCAACTTGTGTGAAATAGACTTTGTCCATCCACAGTAGCATTGATGCAAGTTGTGTTCAAATGGAGGCCGCGAGAAGCGCAAGACTGTCCAACAGCTTCCCAACTATCCTTGTCAATCATAGTGAAGTATAGAACGCAAACTCGAGGAAAGTTGCTGCCGATTTGGTTTGACTGGGCATCCTGATCCGGCGTCAGACAACCCCTCGCAGGGATTGTATGCCCATCCTAGGTTTCACTTTGAAACAAAGGCATCGGATCATCCTAGTTGGCCTGAAGCAATCACGAGTTGATTGCATACGGCAATTGCTCTTGTGACATGTGGCTCGCAGTCAAAACCTGGTACTCACTCTAGGGTCTAGCCAAGACCATCTGAAGAATCAAACGGCAGGCATCGGCACCAATTTCCTGGAACTGTCCCTTACCCTTCGGCTCAGGTGTTTGAGTCTGGAACAAGACCTGGAAATCTGACGCCTCTGCTTCACCACAGCTGCATCGACGCTTCCAGACAGCCCGACCAGCAATAGGAAGAGCAGGAACTGGCGGGGCAGCAAGGGCTCGAGTGTTCGGGTATTTCAGTTCTGACAGGGAGCCTGGGCGACCCCAAAGACCAAGTCTGAGCTTCAGAATGGTTTAGCCGACTCAGCAAGCTGAAGAAATTGGGAACTGACAGTGCCCAGGCGAGAAGCTCAGCCGACTGTCAGAAGTGGCTACGCGCCCAAATGTCTAACGCACGGCCTGATATGTCGACTCTCTTTTTGGCCCTTTACTTACTACCGTTGGAAAAGGAAAGCTGTGCTCTAACAGCTTTACACCTGAACATTGCCCAACATGCTGGTTTCCTTCTGGGGTGGAAAAGGTGTGCCAGGAAGCTCTTTACATGATCAACTCATATTTGCTTGAGGAGCCCTGCTTTAAGGTCTCTGGGTTCCATATGGCCGGCCGTAAAAAAAAAACATTGAAACGGCGAAGCGACGCTGGAGCGCAGCAAGGCCCGACCCTTGAACCACAAACTCAAGCCCAAAAAGGAAGCAGCGACAAGGATGAAGTCACGCAGGTGTCTCTCTAGCGAATTCTCAACTGCCACCGCAACACGGGCACCACATGTGGCCTGCAAGACAGCAACGGATAGTTTGAAGCCCGTTTCCCCTGATCTTAGAACAGCCAACACTCGTCAAGATAGATTCTCTCCTGTTTGAGCATGGCAACTTGTAAGATCAATGCGAGCAGCGCTCAAAACCCATTAACTTTGCAAAATCTAGGCTTCACTCTCCCTAGTGAATCAGGTGGAACCACCCACAACGGCCCTTCACCCCACCATCCCCAGTAAATCTGGGCACTGAGCTTCTCCCTTGGGCGCTCCTGCGCCAGAGCCGCGAGCAGGGCATCGGGCATGTGGCTGGCAACACTTCAGATAACTTCAGGGCCATTCACCCCTGAGCCTGGCGGTGAGGCTTTCCCATGGTCAGCATGGTGCCCGGGCAAAAGCCAATTTTTCGACCACCCCGCACCAGTAGAATGGTGGGTTGTCTTTAGGTGAAAAGGCGACCTCGAACAAACAACAAAACAAACACACACACACACACACACACACACACTCGCGCGTGTGAATGAAGACACCTGTGACCGCTGCAATGGGTGGTCAGGTCACAGCTGAATGCTGACAAACCAGAAATCGATTGCCGACTTGAAAAAGTCCACCCCCAAATGAGTTGCACTGGCCCCGGCATGGGTATGTGTCAAAAAATCACTCCCCCCCATTGAATGTGCCCTGTTTGTAAGCATTGCTTTTCCAGACTCCGAATTTCCCAATACTAAACTAGGGCAATACTAAACCAATTCTAACCTCCCACATTTCCAGCCGACCTCAGTGCAGTCGCATTTAGGAACATTTTGGAACCCACACTCGGCCCTACTAAACTTCTACTAAAGCGATACAAAACCAACACTAGCCAAATACCAAATCGGTTCTGACCATAACTGATCTGACCTGTTAAAGTTTAAAAAAACAAGTTCTACCTTCTCTAACCAAAACCACATCTGACCCAAAGACAGCAGTGACGCCGCCCGGGCAAAAATGCACTATCGGCCCTTGCGGGGAAGAGATTTGGACCCCTTTTGGTGTCCCCTGCAGCCGAGGTGAAAGCAGTAGACTCCAAGACATACACATACACTCGCACACAATCATGAATCGACTGCATCATGGCACATCTTTTGGTCCGCGTTGGCAGTCCGCGCATTAAGCCGAAAGACCCGCGAGGATCGCACTGAGCCATCTTTGTTGGACCCTGCCCTGCCCCCTAGCACAAAAGATTGCACTAAACAGGTGAAACTGGCAACATCTTCGGGGGCTATCTTCAGATTTCTTATCTGGGCTGCCCTCAGATCCCCTGCTAGAAGTTTAACTTTCATTGGGTTAAATGGAAACCCCCACTAAACACTAAAAGGCTAAAAAGCTAAGGAACCGGATGGCTGGGAGCCACCAAGTTATGGTTGGCATAGGCCATTGTGGCTCAGGTGCTGGCGAGTGATTCGCTGGCCGTCGGGCCCTGGGATGCTTGATGTGACTTTGAGGCATCCAAATCATTCAACGGAAGAACAGCTGGTCACTTCCCCGGCTGTAATGTTCTTGCCAGCTTGTCAACGTGTAGCGCGCTTTGCGGGTTCAATCAGTAGGTCAGAGTTCTGACGTCTGCGAGTGAAAGACTTTCCGCCACATGAAAAATATGCCACACTAAAAAACACATAGATGATACAACATCTACTGATCTATGCTGCATGGCAAGCTGACGAATCCTCAGTGCCTGGTGTCATTTGCACGTGGCCGGGATCATTCCAAACTCAAGTCAGCGGCGCGGGCCTTGCAGCCTCTGCCTTTCGAGCGAGAACTCGAATCCGACAAAGCAGCTGAACCAACAAAGAACCCTGCGCTTGCCTAGGGACATGAGGGAACAAACGCCGGTGAGTGCGGGAAAACTCGTTTCTTGTTTCGGCCCTATGTCCCAACTTGACCATATTGGACTATATTGGTATGCTACGAGGGGTCTAGTGTGGGAGACAGTGAAACCAACGCCACTACAACTGCGTTGGCAGTTGCCAAGACCTGTACACATACAACTCTGAATAGTGACCGGCACCTCGATCCAAGGCATTGAACCACTGAATGCTCGCGTGGAGAAGCTTGGAGAAGGGAAGCAACGCATATCAGGTAGGCACCCAAACGATCTGATGGTCTGATGCGACGTACTGAAACAACCAGCTCTTAGAGAAGAACAACTTGTGCAAGCCAGCAGTCTTAGACAGTCTTGGATTCGGTAGAAACACGAGGAGTCGGAGAATGCAGAGCATGGAAAGCGTTTCAGTCAAAAGCTGTACTACGGGAATCACCAGTGACAATGGTAATGTAAACTTGATCTGCTAGTTCAAGCGCTTGGTTTTCCAATGCTCAGTTGCGTGATGCTTTGAGATGAACATAACACTCTAAGAAAATCAAGTCACGTGTATCTCCAATCACCGTAAGAAAACCTTCATGATGCATCATGGAATCATGACCCTGGCACTGCCGGCACCATGAACCCCGACTTCTGGCAAAAACAAGAACAAGGCGCTGGTCCTCTGTAAGGACTTAACCGAGGAATTCCTTGCAAATACACCACAACGGACTCTCTCTGATTGCACACTATCATAATTGGAAAACTGGGTTGTCCTCAGATCCCCTGCTAAAGATTTAAGATCTAGTGGGTCAAATGGAAACCCCCGAAACTAGAAACCTAAAGGGATGGCTGGGAACCACCAAGAAAAGAAGCGAGTGGACAAAGCTTCCCCGTCACCTCTTTCTCTTTCTCACTCTCTCGGCTCTTCCAGAGCCAATAAGGAAAGGAACGATGCCCATCTTTTAATCCTCCCCCTCCATTCCCATCTCACTGTCTTTTTTCCATTGTGAGAATGGAGGATGAGAAAAATGAAAAACTCGGTTGCTTTCTGCTTCCCGTCTGAAAGCTTAACTGTTGGTGGTTTAATTCGGAAAACCAACTAGTTGGCAAAAAGTTAAAGTCCTAACATCCAAACAAAAATGCGCCAAGGAAAAGAGAGGGCCATTCCTTCCTCTCGCCCTTTCATGTGCTTGCAAGAAAATGTGCATTTCGACGTCATTCCCTCATTCCCTCAAGAGAACCAGCAAATACTCACGTGCCCCTTAAAGACCTGGAAATACAGGAGATCACCTTTTGGCACCACCAAAAATGGTTGCCAAGGGAAACCCCATGTCGTGCCCGCGCACCGATCTGACCCTGCTGACGCTACCTTTCAGAAAACTGCCTTTTCTACGACGAGCAACGCTCTCAGATGTCAGCACAACTCGATCTCAAGCGAACACACATCGAACACAAACGCTTCTCTGCGCTCACAACTGCGCGTGTGGTCATGTGACCTCAGACCAACACAAGTGGAAACAAACAAACGCATTTTTAACCGTCCTTTAGAGTGCCAGAGTCAAGGACCTGCTTGCTGGGGGCCCAGGGTGGTTTGACATAGTGTTTGAGGCTCGCTTCTTTTTGACAAAGCTGGAAACGTTGCAAGGTGTTGCGCCCCGGTCAAGGAAACTTCGGTGAAGGCATGTCCAATTTTGCTGCCATGTTAGTTCCAGAGGATCCTCGTCTCGAAGTTCATGCATGTTGAGGGGGAAACATGGCCGAAGTTTGGTTGAGCTGCTGCACGAGCCTTCCCAGGGGAGGTTCTGAGAACCTTCCAGGGGTTCTAAGCTGCACGTAGTCAGACATCGAAGGGGGAACGGGTCTTTGGCGGGCTGATATGTTTGTGCCCGAGCTTTGGTCGCAACTGAGAAAAAAGCCCACCTCTCTTTCCCGTCACCGCGCCTCTCATAGATCTCGCAGCAGCGGGCGAAGGCCTTCGCAAGGTAAGGCCCTGCGCATTCGTTGTGAAGCCGCAAGCTGATCCTCGGAAGCTGATCCGGAACACTGGCCGACGCAGAGCAACCCAAAAGACATCCTAAAATCAACCTGCTAAGAAATGGGGTGCCCCAAAAGGACATCGTGGCTCCTGAGGTTCCATTCAAATCAATCTGAGCAAACTTGCCTTGCAACGCTGGAACTCGTGAATGCCGACATGATATCGAGATCTTCATTCATTTCGCATGAGGTCTAAATACACATACGAAACACCGTGTTTGGTTTCTATTTTAATGTACAAAAAAAACATGTTTTTGGTTGAATAAAACTAATGTTTCACTCCAACTGCGGGTCCTTAGCCATGCATTCGACTTACCCCCGCAATGTCTCTGCCAGGACCCGGTACAAATGAGCAGCGCCCACCTCGACGTATGTACAAAAAAATATATGTAGACATACCAAATTATATGTTAATGTATATCTACATGTATACATACACTAATATATATATATATATACATATATATAATCTATGTTAAGGTAGGGGATTCCATGACCCGGAGGTAAGGATCCCTTTAGGGGAATTTGCCCCACTGAGGCTGCAGCTTGGAGAGGGGATCCATGTCACCGCAGGGGCCGCCCTGAGGGCAGCGGAGGTCTTCCCCCAGCCCCACGAGTCCGGGACCCAATTCCATGCATCTAGCCTTCCCCCTAAAAGGGAAAATGGGTTACCATGAATGGAATTCCAGGGTCACCCCCCCTTTCCCAATTCCACGGTTAAAGGGGGAGATCCCCCCTACCGCGAGGGGGGGAACATCATGGGAAACTCACAAACTCAACTTCCTCTTCAAGAAGGGTTGCTGGCGTCACAAGCTGCGTCGAATCCTGAGGACCCAACCGGTTCAAAGTCACCCGGTGAGTCAAGCCGGGTGAGTGATGACATTAGCTCCTGTGCAGAAAGTCGAGTGCGCGCACCAAACAAAACAACCAGGATACCATAGAGAATGGTCCTGGCCCACGAACACCCACCCACACACGCACACACAGACATACATTCATGTAAGAATATATGTTAACACATGTGTATATATATATATATATGTGTGTTCATGTATACATGTATATATATATATATGCGAGCACATGTGTATATCTATATATAAATATGCATATGTATACAAATATAACACATATATTGAGCGACAACTCTCTGGCAAAGTGAACACGCCACAGCGGTCGAGATGGACGCCTCCAGGGCAAAGGTGACTGAAGTCAACGCTTCTACACGCGCTGCGCCTGTCCCCCAAACGGTGAAGGACAATTGAATTGTACAGCCCTGAATATGCAGCTACGCCTGGAAATGTTGCACAGGCACGGGCCACTGGATGTCGTGCCAAAAGCTGCAATTGACTGGTGGTGTCCATTGAAGCTGCCACCTTTCAAATTCTATGAAAGGGAAATGGATGGACCCCTGTCAGGTTCCCTGGGCATCAGCCCAACGGCGCCGACCATCCCAAGACAAAGAAGGACGTCCTGC